AATGGCGTTTGCATTTTCCCTCTAAAAAACATATTCGAACATCCCGTAGCGCGTTTTGTTGTTGACGCGCATTACGTCAATAACAGGACACATTAATGCAAAGAGACATAACTACTAGTATTAGATAGTTTATTTGAGTTTAAACATATTTAACAACGTATTAAAAAGCAAACTAAATCAACTAATGGCCAAGACCGCAGAGCTCACTCTCTCGCCTGGACTTGCTCAGGCACTCTCTCTCTCTCTCTCTCTCTCTCTCTCTCTCTCTCTCTCTCTCTCTCTCGCCCTCACGCTCTCTGCGCGTCGGTTAAATGAACAACAAACAAATGTTGAGTGCTGATCAAGAGTTTTGTGCAAGCAATTTAAGGTTGCGAGTCGCGACTCGTGTCCCAAATATAGCAGGCTTCATTCAGTGATTGAAGTTTCACAGTATAGAACCGACAGTGAGCGCTCCGAGCGAGCGGTGCAGCTGTGGTAACGTTATTAGTCTGCAACCGCGGGCGTGTTTTTCCATATTCAAATATTAATTTTCACCTTCAAAATTAATACATATTCGAATGTAGAATATTCATAGACAGTCCTAATGCATACTGAACGGATAACCTACACCTTAACTATTTGCAGCTTCTTAATACAATGGCAAGCAGTTAAGTTTTATAGACGAGGTATTCGCGTTTTCCATTTGGACCCACAAACTTGCTTAGTTGCAAGCACATAACAGTTATAGGGCGACGTGTTTCCATTTTCAAAGTGTTTGACAATATTTCAGCAGTCAAACATTTAAAAGATCCTTTGAAAGTTTAAGTTACCATTCTCGTGAAGAGCAGGTTGCACTCTGCTAGTGGGGGAGGGCGGGGCACGTGAACTGCAGCGTCTCTAGCAGCACAGAGCTGCCCGTGGCCGCCTGTCTAGAAATAACTCCGGGGGAAAAAAACTATCGGCGAACGCGCAGCGGTGTATCGGCCGATTCCGATACACGTAAAAACTTCAAATATCGGCCCGATATATCGGCCGGCCGATATATCGGTCGATCACTAGTCAAGTTTCGATCCCTTAGGAGCCTATGTAGCAGTGATCCACCTCTCAGATTTAATCAAAAATATATTCATTTGTGTTCCGAAGATGAACGAAGGTCTTACGGGTTGGTACAGCATGGGGGTGAGTAATTAATGACTTAATTTTCATTTTTGGGTGAACTAACCCTTTAAATTTGACTTACTGAAACCTGCAGAAACCCTGATTATGACGATGTAAACACAATTACATTTCATCAGTAAAATATTACGTCTGACTCTGTTTACTTACTCAGTATGATTCTCGATCGCACTACACGAGCATAGCCTACACGAAAGAAAGGGACATTGTAAGGCAATATTTCCCATAATATGTTAAAAGCTAGCTAAAACTATAATCTTTAATTTATATGAGAACTATATTATCAGAAGTTATATAACAGTAAACAACTTGCTCCGTATCCTTGGCAGGATCAGCTCTCTTCAAAATACAATTTTTCGTCATCTTCAATCATCCTCTGAGGAAAAGGTGAATTCTTCCTCGCTGTCCAGAATCATCTTTACCTGAGTAACGTGCCATCTTCAAAACGCGATGAAGAACTTTGTGGTTTTTTTGCAGTGAGCATGTATTATAAAATATATAAACCTATAAAATTGAAAGTTTTTTTGATTGCGATTAATCACAGAAAAATTATGTGATTAATCGATTGTGATGAATTGTGAATGTTAATCGATTGTGAATGTGATTAATCAAGTACATTTTTATATCAATTGACAGCATATGTCCGTGTTTAGTCATGAGTCATGTGTGGCATTACATTTTTTTTTAAATTACATTAAAGCAATAGATTTAATTTGAAGAGACCTGCTGAAACCCTGTTCTGTCATTAATTACTCACTTTCAAGCCCCACCAAGGTAGTAAAGACATCAGTGCTTTTGTTTGTAAAAAAAAAACAACAACAACAAAAAAAAAAAAAAACATAATTTGCCACTTTATTTACAAATAAATGTGCCCTTGCTGCTCTAGTGGAGATTCATATTTTGTAAATAAAGTGGTAATATTTTTTTTTTCTCACAATTAAAACACTCGACTTGTCTTTACTACCTTTCTGGGGCTTGAAAGTGGTAGTTGTGTATACTGCCAATGGAGGGAGCGATATCTCTCGATATTTAATTAAAAAGATTTTTGTGAACGGAAATCTTGCGGGTTTGGAATGACATGAGGATGACTCTTATAAGGACAGAATTTAAATTTTTAGGTAAACTAACCCTTTAACCATAACCACTGACTAATCCAAAAGTTTGTATCTTCTTGTATTTTTTGCAGATGGCGTCATAAAACGTCATGAAAAAGCAACTGTTGGACAGTTGGGCCAGGCCATTAATTCGAAGTTGGCAGAACTGAGGTTCCAAAACAAGAAAAGAGTTTTATAGTGGCTTTTTTGAGTAAAATAAAGCTGTAACTGTGTAAACATAACTTGACGATGCTTTAACGTTTTGTTCTACAACATACACTCCACATATTCATGTTCTCTGTACTTTACCGTTTGTCAACAATAAAAATATTTTGGTGTAGTAGTGTGTTCCTGAATGCAATGAAAATATTTACATATATGGAGACTATTTGCATAAAGTGGGAGTAAATGAGTATATATTATATAAAAACATGTATAAGTTTATTTACATATATGTGAAGTATACTAAGGAGCACTGAATATTTGAGTATGTTTCAGAATAGATTTACACAAACAGAAATTACTATATGCACATATATTGCAAATCAATATATTTACATAGACGAGCATCTAAATGTATTTACATATAAAGGAAATTAATACATGTAAATATTTCCAATAAAATATATTTACATATAAAGAAATCTAATATGTTAACAAATATTAGAAATTAATATATGTACATATATTGCTAATTAATATATTTAAATATAAAGAAATTGAATATATAAACAAATATTAGAAATTAATATATGCACATATATTGCAAATAAATATATTTAAATATAAAGAAATCCAATATGTTAACCAATATTAGAAATTTATATATGCACATATCTTGCAAATTAATATATTTACATAGATTGATAACTAAATATATTTACATATAAAATAAATAAATATATGTAAATAGTTCCAATTAAAATATATTTACATATGTTTAATATATGTGAAAAATATTAAAAAGGGGCCAAAATCAAATATTTAAATATATTTTTAATATATATTTCTACATATATTTACATATAAATAGAACATATATTTTAATCTATTTAGATTTAAGACATTTAAACATGAAAATCTATTTATTATTAATATATTTCAATATATGTGACTTCTGATGCATCTCAGCTGTTAACAGCCCTCTTCAGTCCCTCACACAGTTGTTTGATTGCTGATTCAAATTAATTCGAATTTCATCTACTACTCTTTCTACAGGTGTTTCCCTGGACTATTTAAAGATAAGCAGAAGTGTAGGCCTCCTACACGATCGTCGAAAAAAAGGTCAGGTACCAAAACAACGCCAGTCCAATTCTTTCTTCTGGACAGCCCAACAGAGAGAACCCCCAAACCATCTGATGAGCTAATGCTTTTACAAGCTGGGTTAGGAAGAAGGACTGTAAATGTTCCAGAGGATGCTTGCCATAATGAGGTATGTGGTATGACGCTTATAACGAAGTAAGAACTGAAATAAATTATAAATTTATCCTATACTATTACTAAAACAGCATATCCAGTGAAAACAGTAGCCCCAATCCTAGCCACCAAAACCATATCATTTATTTTTGGAATGCTGCCAATAACCCTAATGAACAGATTTGTCTTGAGCTCATTGATCTAATCTTACTCACACACTTTAAATTCATAGATTACACACATTCTTTCTGAGACATATCCAAAGATGTCAGAACTGGAGGGTGCCTGGATGCTGCACAAAGCCATGGGTAAAAAGCAAGAGATTGAAGTTTTTTCTCCAAGCAAAGGAAATTTATTGAATCTTTTTGTTTGATATAAAGTTCTCATGTTTGAAAAGCATGATCCTTCCAGTAAGGGGCAGAAAATAAATATTTGTTTAATATTTAAACTTAAACAGGAGGATCAGGTCAACGAAAACTCAACTTGTTGACACCTGAAGAGGAAGGATACACAGGGGCGAGCCTTGTGAAGAGCTGGGGAGGCAAGGGATGTGTCTACATTATGCCCATCCAGAACACACTGGACATTTCTCCCCTAGCCTTCACAGCTCTGGAGTTCCAGGCCATGCCGAAAGCCCGGTGTGTGTCATGCCAAGAGTATGTGCCTCTGCAGCTCCTCGGTCTCCATGTCAAGACATGCATCCAGTCTAAAGTCAAGGTTGAGGTATAGCTTGCTAATTTGAATCTATAAATTTGATGTTCTTTCTCCTTATTCGATGTACAGGTTGGTCATTGTGTCATTTCTTAAATTTCACTATTGGATGGTGGGACCATGTTAGCAGTGCCCCAGTCAGCTTAACCCAAAATTGTTTCTGGCACTGTTGTTTTTAGCTATTACTTTTTTGGAAGTCATCAAGTCTTGATATTTAATTTTATAGCCCCATTGTGATGATGACATCATCGAATTGGATGACGAAGTGGTAAGCTATCAATACAAATGAAGAGATTATACATTTCATATTATTGAGCCATACATTTATGAGTTTCATTTATGAGATCTGGTGATGTGCAGGCATCACATTCGGAGAGTAAGGTGAGCAAATTGCTTCTATTTCTTCTTAAGATTTAGGTTTTAAGAATTAACCAGTGAAATGTTTTACATGATCTTTTCTCATCAAAGAGCATGTTTACATCTGACATCTTAAAGAGTACATCTGCATTTTTTATGTATATTTAACACTGCTATTTTTTATTTTCATAGGTTTCTTGTCCATTGTGCAGTCAACTATTTTTATTAGACGTTTTGCTATTGTTGTGTAGCGTATCAGACATTCTGATGTCACTTGAAAAGAAAGTTGACACATCCCAGTCATTCAACATCAATGTGACAAGGGAGGACCTGTTTGAAAGGGGGCTGAAACAGTGGGCCAGGCAAAAACAGGCCTCCCCAAAGAATCTCCTCAGGGTCTCCTTCATTGGAGAAAATGGAATAGACCAAGGCGCTCTTCGTAAAGAGTTCCTTACTGGTATGTGTGCCCCACTAAGGTCAACACACATGATTAAAGCACATTTAAGAGATTATCAATGTGAATAATATCTTATACATGTCTAATATATTTGACAAAAGCAGCTCTTTGTTCTTTACAGAAATGGTGTGTGGAATTGAAGCACGTTTTTTTGAAGGAGATGGGGAAAGGGGCAAAACCCCTAAATACAGTATTTGTGACTACCAGGACAACAGTTTCAAGTAGGTGCCACAGTCTGTCTTGTAAAATATATGAGTTTGTATTGTTTAATTAGGTAGTAAAAGTCCACTGCCATTTTGTTGGAAATAGCTTTTGTCTTTGTCACAAAAGGACTTGTGGGGAGATTTTTGCCACAGGTTTGGTGCAGGGGGGTCCTCCACCAAACTTCCTTACAAAATGGTGCTACCATTTCTTGTGCCATGGGGAGATGGACAAAGATTTGGGTGTACTCGAAGTCACTGATCAGGATATTAAAAATCTGATGACAGAGGTATTTAAATGTTTAATGCATACATTTTTCCAAGTCAGACATATAGTTATCAGACAATGTTTGCAAATATCAAGTTGTGTCTCTACTTTCAGGTGGAAAATGCAGAAGGTGGAGAAAAGCTGATAGATTTATCAGATGCGATTGTGGCATGTGGCTACACTGGGCCAATAAATGTTGACCAAAAAAAGGCCATCACAGAGTAAGTTAACATAAACACAACACATAAATATTTCTCACAAAATGCTTTAGTGTTAACAATTTAACTCTGAATCAATACACTAATATTTTCTTACTGTTTATTAGTGCCATCGCTTTGCATGGACTGGTGAGGCTGATCCCGATCTTGAACCAGCTGCGTGAGGGATTGAGGCTCTACGGATTAGATGAGGTGTTAGCACAGCACACCCAGATGTGCCAGCAGCTCTTTGTCCCCGGCCACTTACAGGAAGTCAGTAACATTGTGAATGAACTATTAGAACAGGCACTGTTAGACACTGATGACTTGCTCTTATGGCATATTCTGAATTTTTACTTTAAAGCTGCCTTCAAATGCGTGTTCAAAGAGCTAAACGCTTCAGGCCAAAACATAAACTGAATCTTTAATTTAAATCTGCAATCCTTACTGTTTTACCGTATTTAAGCATTTGATTTGCTTCCTTATTTTAGGTGAATGTAGACTTCCTTCTGCTTGCGCTATCTCCTGATTTCAGTGAGGAAGGATCTGTGAGACGACAGCGAGAGATGCGGATCATCAATTTTCTGCAGGATTTCTTGCAAAAGTTGGAAGACAGAGGTAACACAGTGCTGAGCACCTTTTTCTATAATCCTTGTCCATCACTCTTACCATAATATCATTTTGGAACACTTGTTTTCCACCGGTTTCATTTTATTCTATTTTTATTAGTTACTCCCTCTTTAGGTTTATGTATGTGTATTCTGTCAAACCCCCGCCATTAATATGACGAATGCATTTGTACGAACAGAAATGTTGTAAATTAATTATTTGTATTTGTCTTTGAGAAGAAGCAGACAGCCAAGAAGAGGGCAGCCCTGAAGGTCAAAGTCACGTGGCACAAAGTCACTTCCTTCAGTGGGTCACAGGTCAGGCACATGTTCCACTGATCGAATCCAAGAGAGAGGCATTCAAGATAACTGTTAATTTTGATCATGAATGCGACTCCCGCTATGGGACACATAGCCTTTGTTATCCCATTGTCAATGCTTGTGCTGTTGCCATTACTTTTCCTACACGCCACTTAGCCACATACCAAGATTTTGAAAACAACCTAACCGAGGCAATCTGTGGTGGTTACGAGTTCAGCAGACACTAAAGTAGCATTTAAGGTCCTTGTTACTTATTTTAGTTACTTGGTAAGTAATTTGTTACCCTTTTTGTGCTTTGTTTCTACCGTGTACAAACAAGTGTAAAAAAAAAAGTTGTTCTGTTGTTAAAAAGAAATCTAAAGATTTAACTGTGGTTGTTGTTAGCTTTTCTGTGCTTTGTTTGTATTTTATACTGTGTACAAACAAGTATACAACAAAGTTGTTCTATTGTTAAAAAGAATAAATCTAAGGATTTAACTGTGGTTATATATTTTATTTACATCACTTTCTGATCACAAAAACAAACATTAAACACCTGACAAAGCCTGAAGCACATATTCATGACATACGAGGTAAAGGTCTCTAGTGTCAGTGTCTCCGTTTTCTTCAATCAGCACCTGAAGCTCTACTAGCTGCTGTTCATTCAGTGGACACTCAAATTCAGGGACTACTATCACACCATCCACATCTTCTCCATAGTCAGCTGCAACATCCCAGTCAATATCCGGCTCTTCAATATCCTGACATACGAACAAGACAGAAAAATACCGCTATCATTAGTCATCCCATGTTTAGCATCTAATGTAATCTGTTCATCCCAATTGTTTGGCTTTTCAACATTAGCTGAAGATAAATATTCAGGGTTTGTATAACTATGCAACAAATTGATTTGATCAGGTGCTTAAATATTCGTATGGGTGTTAAACAGTACAAGTGTACCTAATGAAGAGGTTACTGAATGCATATGAACTGTATTACCAACGTTTGCATCAATTGTGACTGTTTCACCAGCTGAAGATGTGTTACACTGTTTAGAGCCCGGTGGGCCATTTCAAGGTAACATTAACAGCTTATTTTGAATATAAAAATGTACTGTTACAACTTAGTTGTTTTAAAAGGAAAAAAAAATACCTCAAGATTCTCTGGCTGGTCAATCGGTCGAAGCATCATTCCTGTGTGCCAAATTTGCTCAGGAGTTTTATTCCCTTCTGTTCTCAGTGGGTGGTTGTTCCAACCTTCCACAAAAGCCTCCAGGTCTGCCTTCAGTTTAGGAAGGAATGTCAGGTGGACTGTCAAAAGATCTTCTACAAAGGGACAGGGTCGGAGTATGTCACTTTCACATATGAGCTTTGAAAACATAACATTAATCATTGAATTGCCTTTTGTAAATACATCTCATTGATTTGTTTTTTTTCCCCCAGCATTAAACCATTTCTAAAATTCCACAATGATAGGATTAAAAAAAAAATAATAATAAATCAACAACAGAAGATGGACAACAACAAACCTTACAAACATGCACAAATCAAATAATAATAGAACAGACACAGGAAACATTTAACTGACCAAGATGTACAACAATCTACAGAAAGTAGATGATAAATAGCACAAAATGATGAGACAAACCCTTACCTCTGGAGGACACATCAAGAAGGTGATCCTTCTCTAGGCTGTGGAGTGCGTTGTAATATTTTGATATCACACATGTTCTGACATCCCGCCACAAACGTTCAATCCTACGGATTTAGAAATGATTATTTTAACAATCAAGGGAATGATAAAATGTTATTATGTTATGATTTTACACACAATATACCTCTTTATTAGTTTGGTAAAAGTATCCAAAATACAAAAAAGTGAAAACCTTTGATTATGGACACTTTTTCCTGACATGAAGCTTCCTCGATCAGTTCCACGGACAGTGAACATATATCGGGCTATTTCAACATTCTCCACTCCCTGAAGTGCACACACACAGATGACCAGTGTGTTAAAATCTGTCAGAGATGTACAATACACAGAAATAAAGTGCTACATTGTGTCATTTAAAATTATAATCCTTGAGAACCCTGAGTTTACAGTAAAATCTTTCTTAAAATATAACATCTATCATGTTTGTTACTGTACCTTGAAGCCTGTAAAAACTTACCTTGAAGGTATTCCATGCCTCTCAGTAGCTTTTTTGAAGGCAGTGAATGCGGTTGATGCACGATTGTTTGTTGCAGCATTCAAGCACATCACCTGTTATGAGAAATTTTCATAAATGTACATTTTCTATTTGTCCATATCTTAAATGTACAGTTGGATTACACTCTGGTCCCTTCATGCCTCAGGGAATCTGATAATTTAACATTTTAAATAGATAAATAATAAATAATTTAATTTAACTCTTACTACCATGCGGCATCCTATATTATAACTTTTTCTCCCACGTCAACAAGGTAGTATTTCAGCCATCTGAATGCAAACATGTAATTATTTGGTGTACATCATAGCAATTTTTAAGAAGGCCAACACATCAGAAGGCCAACACATGAAAAGACCCAATGAAATGAAATCTTACCTTCCTGGAGTAGCCGTCCACTGCACCAAAAAGTACAATGTTGTACCTGATGGGAACAAAATAAAGAACCACATTACCAGTTTCAACCTGGATTTTTATTGTATAAATGTCATGGCAACATAATTATGCTTTGAGATCTATCAGTGTCTGCATCATTATATTTAACAAAATAAATAAATAATGAATAAACTGTACTGTACAGTACTGACCTGATAAGTTTGTGGTTAGTGTCGACATGCCACAGTGAAAGGGGCCCCCTGACAGAGTAAGTTCTTCGCACAATGCAGCCCAGTCCAGTCAGTCTAGAAAGAATCCCAAGCGAGTCCACTCGATGCATTGATGCAGTAACTCTCCTCCACTGGACGTGGATTCCCATGGACTTTAGCCTCCCTTTGACCATCCGATAGCCTGCTGTGGGCATTTCATTTTTGATGCGTTGGACTGCATTATCAAGCTCCTGGTCAGTAGCATTGCTGTAGTTCTGTCTGGCAGAGAGACCAAACTCCCTCATCCGTCTGTTAACTGTAGTGGCTGAAACGCACAGTAACTTTGCAATGCAGTTCACAGACAGATTTATCTCCAAAAGCTCAACAAGTCTCTCCTTCTCTAAATTGTACCTGGGACGCCCCATCTCTCCAGCTACAGTTTCAACAGTACTGCTGGTAACTTCAGCATTTTCAATGTGGTCCATGACCAGATGGAGGAAATCTCTTAACGCCTGTACAATATCTGGGGGGACATTAGCATGCCTTGACAGTGCTTCCCAGAGGTACAGCTCCTGCCGACATGCAAACTGTAAGAAGTCCAAGTCAAGAGGTGTTCTTGAAAGTGCTGACTCTAATTTAATGATCAGCCTGGAAGTAATCTCACGTCTGACTATGTCCTGTTGAAGTGGAAAACAACATGAAATTAACACTTAAGAATATATTGAATACATATTCATTAATTAATTAATTCATCCATTTTAAATAGCAAGGGGGGGGGGGGGGTTGGAAAAGTTGTGACGTGTAGTTAAATTGGATTATACTAACATAAACGGCCACTAGTTCAACTAAAACACACTTGCCATGAGAGGTTTGGGAACCACTGGCCATACTTTACGTTTTGTTTTACACATGCAGAACTGACTAAATGTTATAGTTAACGTTACGTTAGTTTGATGAGAGACAGCTTAGCCCCTGCTGAGTTTGCTTAAAACTAGCTAGTTAAGGTTGATTAGCTTATGTCAGCCTATATGTTCCAAACAAATTTCAGATTAAATTGCTACATTGTCAAACACATAGCTCCCATCATATATCAATATCACTTACGCCTACAGCTTCAGGTGTCGCCGCCATTCCGTCCACTTTGCAGTGTGTTACTGAACTCCGTCTTCCGTAAGATACATTTACTCCGTGCTTCCTGTAATGAGAGCTGTCAATCAAGGTAGAAGGATGTCTCTGTGGTTGTGATGACGATGAAAGGCGACCAATCATAAGAGGGCCAGTGCCCTCCCATAGGTCCCGCCCCCAAATTGTCAAAAGTCATGTAGACGCGAGGGAGCAGAAATCAGCTGAGCGAGCAAAACAGCACTTCGCGAGCAAAAGCCCGCTGCGCGCGAGCAGGATTCCATTGTACAAGCAGAGTTAACCTATGAGAGTATGCCAGGCGCTCGCTCGCAGCTACCGGTACACCTCTCGGTTGTTGAATTTGTGCGCGATTACTTCTCTCATGCCAGCTGAAGGTTCATTTTCGCGCCCGTGAAATAACATAATGTGCTCGTGAGCATGTCTTACGCGCTCGTAACTTTTGACTAAAAAATAACGCCATAGTTCAAGTTCAACTGTCTGTAACTAGCCACAACTCGCGAGATGTCCCAACAGTCTCTCTCGCTCTCGCTTTTTTTAAAAAAAAATCAATTTGATAAAGATAAAAAAGTAGTGTTTCATTTTTTATTGTTGCTGTTTGAATTCAAAATTGTTTTAAAATATTATTTGTCACTTAATTAATATTAAAGATTTTTAATAGTGTATGTTTGTTTCCACCAATCGCTGCACAAGTTAAGGATACGTATGATGATGTAAGCACGTTAGTGAGCCCTCCCGGAACCCATAGAGAATGCGTTGCAGTGCCTGCAGTTCGAAAAAAAACATCTTTGAATGTAAGTCTATGGGAACACTCTGGGCGATTTTCAGCTAGCGTAACTCTCTGGTTGAATGTGATAGTGAATGTGATTCACACTTTGGTGGTGCGTCGCCCAATCGCCCCAATGAAGAAACCGCCCCTGCATTTAACCTTCAGGGATGGGCAGTATTTCAGATACATGTATTTGAAATACAAAATACTATTTTGTATTTTAAAGCCTTTGGAAAAAATCAAATGTAATTTGTATTTAAATACATTTAGGATGAGTATTTTTGTATTTTCAAAATACTCAAAATACTTTGAGCCAGAATCCTAAGATCAGAGGAAGGATTTGGACATCTTGAACCAGTATCCACTTATTAGACAGCTGTTTGTGAGGTTCAACACAATCATTCCCTCTTCAGCTCCTGTAGAGCGCTTGTTTTCCTTTGCGGGTCTAATCGGTACATTTTATTTGAAGGGGTGTGCATAAGACTGACATGACACTGTCATAAACATGACATAACACCTGTCATGAACATGAAGGAGTCTTTATGAATGTTTATGACTTTTGTCATTAAGTGTCATTCGATAAATTATGACAATTTTAATGCAAAGTTGACATTGTTTAAAATGTCTTTGATATGACGCATTAACAAAGACAAAAAATGTCTTGATTATGACAACTTGACAATAACAAAGACAGAAATGTCTTTAACCAAGAAATCATAACCTGTCAACCTGCCATGTTTATACCTAGTCCAACGTGTTCCACTTTACTTGAGGTAAGGGGAAATATTAATGACACTGTTGTTAAAACATTTGTCAGTGTAATAACCCTTAATGACATCTTTATAACTAGTACAATGTGTTCCACTTTACTTGAGGACAAGTAAAATATTCATGTCACAGTTATAATGGTGTCATGACGGCCAAAGTCAAAACCAACCACATATGACAGTAATGTAATGTTAACGCAAAGCTAAATAACTTCTTTAAGTTTGATAATTAGACCTGTTATGATATTTGTGACAAGTTATGATTTCTTGGTTAATGTCAAGTTGTCATAATCAAGACATTTTGGCTTATTACAAACTCTTTACTTTTGAGGTTGTTAATGTGTTGTTTTTGATTTGGGACTCGGGGTCAAAGGAGATGGATGACAGATTAAAACTGCTTACTTTATGCGGTGAATTTCATCTTCATAAATGTAAAGTAACTGAATCTATAAGCCCAACTTTAAACTTTATTGTGTTGATTTAAAATTGTTTTATGACTCTCTTTGTTTATGATTTCATTGTAAATATCACCTCCTGTATTTATTTGCATGTTTTGTGATTTGTTATTGTTTATTGGACTGTCCCTTATTTACTGCCTTGCTTACTTTGTCTTTGAGTATACTGTTTTTTGTGCTTTTTCTAGTTTTTATTGTGTATTTCTTGTTTTCTTGTTTTTATAAAAAAAAAATATATATATATATATATATATATATCCCCGGATGGGGGCGTGACACGGTGCGTGACGTTAGCGCGCACCAAGCGCCAGTTTCAGTCATGTGATTATGAAAAAAAAAAAAAAGTCATGTGATTATGATGACGCGCAAAATTCCAAGAAGTGGCGTCTGTTGTTCTGTCTCTATGGCAGCGGAGAATGCGATTGACGTCACGTGCAGCAAGTTTGCAGTAAA